CCTTCATCCTCACAAACTGAATGAGAGTTTAAGCTTAACAAGTTCCAGGCCAAAGCTTGGGTTTGCAGATTTGTCACCTGAGGTGAGCTGTGAGGACACTGAGTGTTGGATGCAGGTGCAGAGGGGAAGGCAGAGTGAAGGATGGGGATGGTGGCCTCCAGCTATGCTGGAGGAGCACCCTCACTGTGGAAGGATGTTCCATTCTTGGGTTCAGAACAGAACCCATACTCCGCAGTTGCTTTCAGGTCTCCACTGGCCAGTGATGAGCTCTGAATCTTCATAACTCAGGTTGGTGTTTTATCCTACAATGGGAGGCCAGTAAAACATCTGAATCCTTGGCCAGCTCATGCTTCTTCATTTTCATCCCATTCTGCTTCAGGTCAGATAAGGTTGGGTAAGTATGGTAAGGAAGAGAACACAGTACAGGCGTATACAGGTCAAGCCTCTGTTCTGGGGGAAAAGGGACTATTTCTGAAACACATCAGAAGTCACCCAGAAGATACTGGACTTCTGAAAGCTGACAACTGCCATCCACGAGCAGCCTGGTGGCAGCTGCAAAGAAACAAGATATGGATGCAGGTGCTTTAGAAATGCTGCATTAGCTGATGATGTCTTCTCCAAAGTAAGTCCTTTGCTCCAATCTAGAGTCTGTTCCTCTCACCGCCTTCCTTCTGTCCCCTGCTTACTCATTCTTTCTCCTGCTTTCTCATTCTTGTGATGAGAATGTGGCTTCTGTATTCTGAGTCCAGAGGAGGGTTTGATGAAACTGACAGTTACATGCATGAGATGTTTTTCAAAAACTGGATACCAAGGAATTTTGTAAGTTTGACTCTTTTGTGTATTACAGTGTTAATTACAGGCTTGCTTATGGGGGGGAAGGAACTTTGGAAATAGTAGGTGTGAGGACCCAGCCTAGGGGTTTGGCAGCCATTGAGTCTCTTACACTGACATCCTGCCATCATTTCCCCCGAATGTACACAGTTTGAAGTTTTATTTGTTTTTTAATAGATTGGCAAAGGTGCACATTTCTGATCAACTCTGCATTGCCTGTGGAAGAATAAAACAGCAGAGGTTCCAAAACCCCTGTTCATACAGATTTCACTGAATAGAACATGCATTCAGCTACTGGGGAGAGAGCATCAAGGAAGAAGGGATGGAGAAAAGAAAGAAGACGAGGAGAAGTAGAAGGAAGCTTATTTCTTTTGTACAGAGTCATTCCAGAGATATCATCAACAGCAAATTAAACAATCCTTCAGCAAGAATTTTGACAGGAAAATTTCATTAGGGATTTCAATCTCTATGGAAGCTCAAGTTGCTGCATTACAATATGAAAATTGTGCAAATATTGTTCCTTAGAATAATGTTGGCTGCAGGTCATTGAGTCCATCAGTGAAATTTAGAGTGATGAATGTCATAGCAAAAGTAACTTGATGAACGAGAACTCGGGGAAGGAAGGAAAGAGCCCTGTCCTTGGAACTCAGGCCCCAGAGTCATTTGGATCAGAAGTTAGATTCCAGCATTAACTAATTGTGTGACCTTGAGCAATTTTATTTAACAGATGGGAGGCCTAATTTCCTCATCTCTAAGACGTGAGCAATTGCAGTAACTGTCTGCTAGATTCTGATTGCGAGGGTGTAATGAGATAATCCAGGTAAAGCCCCTTGGCGCAGTGCCTGGCACATGTGAAACCTAAACTCATATTAATATGATTATGGTGATGAGTAAAGGAAGTACGCTGGTGTTTATCTGGTGCTGACTTCCTGTCACTTGCTGGGAGAGTTGCTGCTAGGTGTTATTATTGGCATTATTCAAATGAAAAGTCTGAGGTTCAAGGGTCAGATAAATGAGACAAAATCATAAAGGGATAAATATTTCCACAGACTTTTGCCCATGCTTATGTATTCATATATTTTTCTCCCTTGCTGGCCTGTGTGGATCTCAGAGCCTAAAATCCTTTACACACCTTTGCATTAACAGAATCACACCAATTACATGGCCCTTGGTGAGGGCTCAGGGAATATTTTGGAAATGGAGTGATGATTGCAAAAATAAATGGCTGTATGCATGGATGAATAGAAGATATATTTTCTCATTTAAAGTGTGTCTTAGGAAATCATCTATAGGTTTATTTTTCTAATTTAAGGGCATCCTGGCATTTTGAGTCACATGAAGACGTGCCAATTTACAGAAAACATGAGAAAGAAAAACATTCATATACCTTCACAATCTAGAAACTGAAAGTCCCTTATAGAATTTTAGCATATGATATTTTCTACATTTTACCAAAGGATGTTCCTATTGCAATCTTATATGAAAATATTTTCTGTCTTGCTGTTTCACTTTATGGGAATATTTCTTAGAATAATCATTTTAATGGTAGTTTAATAAGATATTATAGCTATCCCATCGATATTTTATTTAAGGATAATCCTGCTGGTTTTCAAAATGTGTCCACTTTTTTTTACCATGATAAATATCATTGCACTAACTACTTTTAATATAAGACCTATGTTCTCAGGCTTACAGACTCAGACCTACATAGTCCTTATGTAGGTCTCATCTACAACTTTTCAGTAATGAATTATGGAATCCAGTCAAAAAACAAGGGCTTGATTAGATTATTTAAAAAATATATTATTTCGGGGCCTCCCCGGTGGCGCAGCGGTTGAGCGCTGGGTTGCAAAGCTGCCCGCGGCCTCCGCGACGCCGGTTCGATCCCTGGCTGCTCCCCGGCCACCGGAGGAGGGTCCCACATGGCGCGCAGACCTCTCCTGCCGCCCGCTGCGCCCCTCAGCAGTGTACTTCGGTCCTTCTGCCTGCTCTGCTCCCCGCTCTGGCTCTGGTGAATTCTCTCACCCTCGCGCGCTTCTGACTGTACCCAGTGCATGTATAAACAAACAAATAAATAAATAAACATGCCTCTAAAAAAAGAAATAATAAAAAAAATATATATATATTATTTCACCCATTTTGTACCAGATGAAGCCTTCCCCCAGGACAAGTAAGGGAGGAAGGAAGATGGGCAAGAAGGAAGGGAGGAATAAATGAAGGGAAAAAAGGCTAAAAGGAAGAAAGAAAATAAAAAAATGGAAGCAATGGGGAAATCAATAGATAGGGATGAAAAAGAAGGGAAAAGAAAGGAAAGAGAAAAACAGAGGAAAACTAGGTACATCAGACAAAATGAAAGAAGAAAAGGAAAAGGAAGACACCGGCAACTCCATCTCCTATGTAAACTTTATAATATTCCAGATGTCTCCAACGGCAACCATCCCTTTCAGGCAACAGTTTGGCAGTGGCCAAAGTTCAAGATCAAAAATCTACAAAACACTTCAGTCACTTCCCCCAATATGGGTAGTTCTGGAGACCAGAGTTCACATTTCTAAGAAGAGAGATAGCCCAAGCTGGGCTCAGAGTTGCTAGCTTTTAGTCAACCTTCATTTTTTTTCAAGGAGAGCGAAATTTGCCAAGAAAAGAGTGATTAATACTCTCTAGTGGCTAACTCACCAAGATAAAATACAATTATATTAAATTTCATATACCTTTTCCTTTTAAAAAAATCACTGTATCTACCTGAGGAAATGTAACTAGAAATTTACAGAGGAAATGAAAAAATATACATTTTGAAAGGATGCTGAAAGAGGGCTGGCATATTCATTATGCAGCGACACACTAACAGAACAACCTCTTTCTGTAGTCAATACACAAATTTTGCTAAAGTTGGTGTTATGTTTGTTTGGTGTTCAGAAAACCATAACATTGCCTTCATGATTTGGAAATGCCTGTCATTATCCTCACTGAACTAAACTGCCAATTTAATAAATGCCCCCTTTCCTTAGTAGTGATTCAATTGTAGCCATCATTGAAAGCACAGACGTAAAAAAAAAAAATCATATTTGACCATATTGGGCATATTAGCATATAGAACATTACTTTTTAATACATATAGAAAGAGAAATTCATGACTAGCATTATTTCTATGGCAAATTGTCTTCTTTCATGAATGGAAAAAAATGTCATTCGTATAGTTATGGTTGATATACAGTGTTGCTAAAATGAAGTTTTCATATTGAAAGTTTCTTACATAATTTTATATGCATGTTTCCTTATTTCAGTGAGTATGTAAAGGTAATTAATTTAACATTATCACAAATTACCAAGTAGAAAGTAAGAACCAATATGATACTCTAATTTACATAATATTCTTTTGGAGAAATAATAGTCCTCCATTGCAAGTCCTCAAAGGAGATCGATAGTGGCACTGAATCTAGAAAACCACCATATTGCTGGAGAAGACCTAGTACTGTATGCAGTTAGTTCTGAGCAAGTTTTCAACTTTAACATCCGTCACCATTTCCACCTTTCTACAATAGCAATGATTTGTTGCTATTTTAACGATCCTGATTGAGCAAAGGAGGCAATGGAGATGTATAACTTAAGCTCTCGATCCGAAAGCACCCACCTGTTTATGAATATACTGATAGAAAAGCAAGAACAGATAAAACCTGGCTGGGCTGAGAGACGAAGCCCAAATTAAAATTAATAGGTGGTCCTTCTAATACACTCCGAAATGTGGTATAAATATAGGTACCCATCTGAAGCATTTTGAGATGCTTACAGACTCCACACCTGTAGTCATCAAGCCTTTTCCAGATTTGGCTAGAGTTGCAAGGGACACTAGCTCTGAGAAGTGTCCCCTGCCCCCTACAGATAAAAGGCTGCTAGGGGCATTCTGGACCAGGTCCCACCCACTCTACAGTGCCAGTTTCTGAATCTTGCCAAGAGGTTCTTTACCACCTCCCTTTGACTGCAAATTAAACTGTATGCTTATATTGTCCAATGGGATTCCCCCCAATAAATTCATACTGAAGTTATATGCATTTGGCTTGAGTGGTACTAAGAAAATTAGCATATTAGAGATCTCCAACCTGATAAAACAATATTTTCTCAGAGTAAGGGCTGCATATATGTTGTGTAAGAGAGAAGAAAAACGCTTGACCTACTTGGATCCGATAAGATGGAATCAGTTTTCGGCAGAAATTGATCACAGCGGACACCCTGGTAGCCTTCTTTGCACCTGAGAAAAGGGGAGAGATGACATATGCATGTGGTTGTGAAAGATCCAAGATTTCAACAAGCAAAATGGCCAGCAATTACATACATGCTAGAACAGTTTGTTCAGGCTTTTACTTTATTTGATTCAGTCTCTTTCTAACACCGACAGATTTTAGAGTCTATTTCTGTTCAAAAACCAGCACTGCTTTGCTTTTATAGTTTTATATGTAGTACCTATCAAACAAATTGAATAGCAATTTAAGCTTCCCTTCACAGCAATCTGAATAATGGTCATTCTCATACAATTCTGGATACAAGTATATTTTTCCTTATTCAACACACTGGTCTCTAAAAGGCTGCAATACTTTCCAAAGCATTATATTGTGAGTGTCATTTATCTAATGAAAAATCATTTTCTCACGTAACTGACCAAATATTATCAACAGATTTTAGCTATTGTTCATTTCCTTTCATTTTTATTACATTGTTCATTTGCTATTTTTATTTTTTAACTTATTCTTCAAATCATTTAAGCCATTTGGCCAGAAATAAATGCATTTGTTTAAATTTGGCAAGTTCTGAAAAGCATCTATCTCTATGGGCAAGGTCTTTGTGCATTTTCTCTAAACTCACCTTTTTCTCTTCTATATTCAGTAAACATGTGCTAAGTGCCTGCTTTCTGCTAGGCATTGTACAAGGCAACTTTGTGAGGCAGGCACCATTTGGAAGCGAGGAATTTGCCTGGAAGCACCCGCAATGAGGCATGTCACCTCGGCCCTGCCAGTCCTCCATCGTGTCCTCACACAGCTCATTCAATCAGGGCTGCTTGGCTGCCTTGGACAGCATCGGCTCATCAGCTGGTAGTTCAAGGAACAAATACAGCCGAGGCCCCAAATGCCTGCCTCTGCACAGTCTCTGTGAGGAAGGAGGTGGAGTTCAGTGGTAGGCTTGAAGCTTAATCTTTCATGCTCAAGTTAAGCAGAGAAGCATACATTGTCGCTTATGGGTAAATCTGTCCTAGTTACAGAGGAGGAAATTGTGCTGCTAGCATAAAAATCAGATTTAAAAAACAATCCTCTGGTTGTTACAAATCTATGAAATTGGCAAAAGAATTCAAAGAGACCATTCTATCAAAGATTGGAGCTATCAGAGACTGGAACTATTCTTTCTTTAGAATATGCTTTGTTTTCTAAGTGTGATAAACTACTAGATAAGGGCTATTGTAACTTCAGGAGCAACACAGAAAGGTACCTAGGTCATTTTTCTACCTTTCCTTGTGAGCCAAATTGGAATGCAGGTAATCAGACAGACTCTCTTTAGTACCTTTATAAGCCTGGCACTCTGGAGTCTATTTGGCAATTTTCCTCATAGACCTAGAACAAAGACTTCTGATATATCAGGCCCCAAATACCCAACAGGCAATTGAAGGAAAATTTTTAAGCAGCCAGCCACATATTTTCATGTATTTTATTATTTTTGATTTCTCACTTCTTGCACTTGAACTAAAGCAGTATAGCACTGGTTCTATACATGTTAAAAGTCGGATAATGTTTAGGAACAAAGCAGATCTATGATGGAAAGAAGATTCCTATTCTCTGAAAGCTGCTAGTCTGTGCTTGTTTAGAATGACCTGAACCACAGTGCTCTAGTATTTTTTCCCTTTATGATGAGTTATATGCTGGGTGCATCCTATTGTGTGTATCCATGTCTTGGAGGTTCCTATTTCCTTCAGATAAGGGAGATTTTAAGCACATTTTACTCTTTGAATCTTCACTTAATATGAAAATGGTATCCTAGGGAGAAAGTTGCTTTTAAGGAGCAATGCTTTTTGGTTTTCTTTTGTATTTTAAGGGTTCTCTGTTACTTAAAATGTATCATTCCATTTGTGTGTGGAAAAGAAAATAAGAGATGTTTAAAACTGTTCTAGTCTAAAACTGATTTTCCACAAGTTTGAATCCACTCTAAAGCATTCAGACCTCATGAGGGAAAACTGCATAGTGAGTGTCTTCATCTTGCATTCACACCTGGGTGTTGTGGATGGTGATGTGAGCCCTAGTCCAGTCCAAGAAACCTGGCAAAAGGCCTGTGATTGGGTCTACAGAAAATCCTGCTCCCTTACAGGGGAGGTAGACCTGCTACTTTTCTTTGGTGCTAGACTTTAAGGACAAATTAAAATTTCTATTTAAAATTCACACCTGGGGCCTCCCCGGTGGCGCAGCGGTTGAGCGCTGGGTTGCGAAGCTGCGCGCGGCCTCTGCGGCGCCGGTTCGATCCCCGGCTGCTCCCCGGCCACCAGAGGAGGGTCCCACATGGCGCGCAGACCTCTCCTGCCGCCCGCTGCTCCCCTCAGCAGTGTGCCTCGGTCCTTCTGCCTGCTCTGCTCCCCACTCTGGCTCTGGTGAATTCTCTCACCCTCCCGCGCTTCTGACTGTACCCAGTGCATGTATAAACAAAAAAAACAAACAAACAAACCAGCAAAAACAAATAAAGCATGCCTCTATAAAAAAAAAAAAAAAAAAATAAAATTCACACCTATGTCACCTGGATAAGATCAGACTCACTGATACCCATAGGCAGAATGTGGCTAACTGGTAATGCCGATGAACCTGTATTGAATTTATCACATTATCGAAGACATGAAGAAAAGGGAAAAGTCTTAATGGAACAGGGTGGTCCCCAGGGAAAGGGGAGGTTCCAGGTTTCCTGTTCCACCCAAGGAAGGGTGGAGCTGAGCAGAGAGGAGGAGGACCTAAAAGGTCCTATAACACTAAAACATATACAGTGTTAGAAACCAGTTACCTCAAAAAAAAAAAAAATTGCTTTTTGAAAGATATAAGAATAAGAACAAAATAAGTTCATACAGCAGAAAGTTCTTCTGTTTACTCATCAGAGTAAAGCATAACAGTTCACATATAACCATTAATCATAAATAGGTATTTTCTAAAAAAGCACAAACCCTTACCTTAGCCAGGTTAATAATCTAATTTTCTGTACTCGACATTGCTTTTAAAGCACCACACAATTGTTCCAGTCTCTGTTCTCTAAATTTCTTTGTCCCTTAAAAGTCTTGCATCACAGTGATTATATTAAAAATCACAATGTTTCCTGGTGCTTTAAGAGGAAAGTTTTGATTCTACAATTAAATGCCCTGAGAGCAGGGGGCAGGTTCAGAACAGGAAATATAGCCAAGATTGCTTAATAGTTGTATAAAAATATTGGGAGAATAATTACTAACAGCATAAAATCACAAAGCAAACTCAGTGTGTAAAAGCTAAGAAATTTTACTTTGAAAGATACTTTTCTTATACATTTTTAAGAATTTATTCTGGCTGTGTTTACTCTTGAGGTGAAGGGGCTGCCACTTCAGAAATCAGCACATTCTTGATCATGTTGCTTAGTTTGATTCCAATTTAAAAGGCAGTAGGGAAGGGCATCCTTGAGGAGGAGACAGCATCCTCAAGGATGAGCAGGGTAGTACAGATGAGAGGTTGGAGAGAGGACAGTGGTAGGGTTGCCATGAATAGGAAGAGATTGGCCCATGGCAATGGGGGTGTAGGGACTGTTTGACTCCTCTGGTGATTCTAAACCCAGATCAGATATTAGCAAAGGGTCTCAATCCTGGTGAGTCTCACAACCAGGACCATCACTTTCTGCAGGGACAGGGTCAGGTGTGTGCTTACAAATGCAGACATCACTTCTTCTACTCTATTTTTCTAGCTTCGTCTTTACCTAAAATAACCCCTTCTATTCATTTTTCCTCTCCTATATTATCCTGAGGAAAATCGCAGTTTTGTGAAAAGCTTAAATGGCAATCCTGGTGTAAAAGAGAAATACTGTCAAAGACGAGAAATACAAAATGCATGATTGTCAGCTAGAATCCAATACTTTGTTTGGTATAATAAAGTAGAAGTTACTTAACATATCACCCAGCATAGATATGGAAGACCTGAAGGAAAAGACTTCGAAAATGTCCAGATCCTTTGCCAGCGTGCGTACTGAAATCAGCATCCTTTGGCTTATAAAAATGATCACTGTCAGGCTTCCCCGGTGGCGCAGCGGTTGAACGCTGGGCTGCGAAGCTGCCCGCAGCCTCTGTAGCGCCAGTTCGATCCCCGGCCGGTTCGATCCCCGGCCGCCGGCGAGGGTCCCACATGGTGCGCAGACTTCTGCCACACCCATTGCTCCCCTCAGCAGTGTGTTTTGTCAGGCTGCCTGTTCTATTCCCTGCTCTGGCTGGTGAATTCTCTCACCCTCACGCGCTTCTGACTTTACCCAGTGCTTGTATAGATAAATCTTAAAAAAAAAAAGATCACTGTAACCATCAGCCCTCCTGCTAACTCTTTATTATCCCCATTTCATCTCTTACAACACTTTAGGCCCATTTCCTGAATAACAACTAAATTAGAGTTAATATTAGTGAGTTTGAGTAAAAACTGAGGAACTCTCACTTGTGACCAATAGCCAGTCTCCCTGCATTTTCAGAATTTTCTGCAATTATCCCTTTCCCTCCATTTAGGAAAACAAAATGGGAAAAAATGTAAGCAGCATAAAAACTGTTCCATTAAGGGAACTACATTAGTCTCTTGATCTTCAGCTCTTGATTCCTGGTCATTTACTCACGAATGACAGGTGTTGCCATTGCTTCCCTGTCTTCACCATCTCTACTCTGCCATTGGCGGCAGGGTCTTGATTACCTGCACAGAGAATCTAGCCCACATTTGGTCTCTGAGCACAGGTCTTCCTTATCTGTATCACAAGTGAGTTTACACTTCGTATTTATGTGGATGTACGTTAGGTAAATTATTAAGTAATCCTATTGTCTGGGTACAATGCAAATAAAATGGTTGTGCTAAAGGAAGAAGGAAAATGAACACAAACTCAGGGCTGATTTTATATACATGCCTTTGGCCATTTTTAATCCTAGGTATCTTATTCTTAGCATATCTTTAAAAGATGCATTTTACATATTTTATAGAGAGAAACACGTGTGCAGAAGCTGGGCTGTGCCTACGCTCCAGAGGT